ACAACAATAATTTTTATATTCATCTTTGAGCTGACATTTCTCCCAAATTAATCAATATGTAATTTAACGTAGTATGTTGAATATATGTCCATTCCAAGAATTGAGAAAATACACTTCCTGTTTTTTTTTTTTCTTTTAAGTCTCTGTTACAAAGGATAGCTTTAGGGAGCAAGAAGAAGGTATTTATTTAGAATTGAAGGTAATATAAAAACAAAAAGTAACAATAAAAATAAGGTTAAAGAATTTCTTCCCCAAACAATATATACTCCTCTTTTTAAGGAAAAGACTTACTTGAGTGTGAATTCCTAGGTACAGTCTGCCAAGATGAACTATGTAATACTGGGCAGGGCAGCATGATATGGTAGAAGACAACCAATTGTCAAATGTTATAGGTTCAAATCCCATCTGTTATATTTATTATCTGTATGACTTTGGACAAATCACTAAATCTCCCTGGGTCTAATTTTCCACATTTTAAAATGAAGGAATTGAACTATGTGACCTCAGAGGTCCCTTCCAAGTCTAGAGTTTTAATATAATTACATCAATTTGAGTACTCAACTGGTATACACTATAAACCTTCTGTGTCTCAGTAGATGGTCTTCATATATTGCTGTCTTACTTCCCATCAAAAAAAATGTCACCACAGAGTGATCAACCTTCTGATGATTTATTTCCATTTAGCCCATTTCCAGGCCTTCCCAGTTTCGTAGAAACTAAAAAAAATTGTTCCACTGGGAAGGTCCTTGAGATTTAAAAGTCACTTCTGTGCCACCATGAGACAACATCCTGTTAGGACTTTTAACAGGGATCAATATACTGTGATCAATGTAAAAAAACATTCTAAATTTAAAGAGACTCTTCGAATGAGTGCTAGCAGATTACCTGGTCATAGAATTAGATTAATTTAAACAACTATTTATTAAGTGCTTACTGTGTACAATATAAGCTGTAGAAAGAGATTGGATAACAAAACCCAGGAACCATAATGGGTAAAGATTCGTAAAATAGCACCTTGAAAAGAGAAAGTTGAAGGGTGATCTCAGGATACATAAAAGGAGGTTAATGACCAGCTATTTTTCTTCTCCACTAATAATCTAAAACTAATGATTTTAAAATTGCAACAGATGAGATTCAGATTAGGCATAAAGGAAATTTTTTTGCTAAGGTCAGAAAATAGATGTATCTTTTGTAAAATTTTGTGTTGTAAACCACAGAATCTTAGAACTTGAAGGATTCTTAGAGATTCCCTAAGCCCCTCAATTTTTAGAGAAATAAATTAAGGTACAAAGAGATTAATATAAAATTAATCTCTGTTAAGTAGCTGTTAAGTAGTTAAGCAGGACTACAAATCAGACCCCTGAACCTGTCTTTCCACAGCTTCACTCCTTCCCTGGAGCTCTTAATGGATACTATTGATAACTCTTGACCTTGGATGGGACTTTCTGTTCTGCCTGAATACAACAAGCTGCATAGATATTTGGGGGCAGCATTTTTTGCTTTTCTACATTTGAACTCCACTATGAATTTATGTTTCTTTCTTAATGTAATAAAGGATAGGAATTAGATCTGTGATTTAATTGATATAGGGAAAGGAAATTTTCTCTCCTGGGAGAGGAAATTCCCTCTACAAAACAGGCTGATACTTTCTCTTTAGTTTACAATCTTAGAATTGCCTAGAACTTTTGGAGGTGAGTTTTAAGTGACTTGACTAAGGTTATACAACCAACACATTTTAGAGGTAGGATTTGAACCCAAGTCTTCCTTCTAGGTTAGCTTTCTATTCACTACACTACAGCTGTTTCTACTGTTAACTGAAATAAGATGGTATAGGAGAATTTAGGGGATTATCATGCCCACTTACCATTTGAAGAAAACTGATCCTCTACAAAAAGAAGAATTTGGTACAAAGTGTGCCTCAATTCTGCCATCTAAGAGGCAGTATGGTTTAGTGAGCTAAGAAATAGATTCTTTACTTGGGCATTGGGTTTTGCAAAGTTACATGTGAGCATGGTTAAGTCTGAGGACTGGGCTTACTTATAAAACAGGGGTTAGTAAAACCAGCTTAGTGCATAGGGTGCATTCCAAATTACATATTACTGAAATAACAGTGAGGTACTTTGTTTCATTGTTATCAGAATATTAAGAATTTAAAATGATAAATTTATTACATTTTAAATCACTAGGCCAACTGATCAGTTAAAAAGTCAATAGGTACCTATTCTAGTGTCAACACTTAGAATTTCTAAATGCTTGTCCTAAGTTGACAAAGACCCCAAATCTATCCAAAAGCTTAAGGTAAGATAAATTAATTACTAAAATAATGTTACAATAACGTGTTACTGCAATGATAGTGTTGTTATTGCTACAAGGCAAGGAATACTATAGTCTTCAAAGACTTGAAGTTGAGGATCACCCTGAGGGCAAAGGAGAGGTGCATGAAGAGCATGAGCAGGAACACATTACAAATGAGGAATTTTACAGGAGAAGTGGTATAAAGCAGTGGCATCAAATTAAAATAGAATAGGGGCCACTAAACCATATATGAGAATCTGTGCTAGCCACATACTGACTTGGAAAACCACATATTAAGGTAATCTCTATTTTAATTTATATTGTGAAGTATCAGGCTGCACCTGGGAGTGTTATGAGCTATATATGATGACCCAGTCGCACATTTGACATCTCAGGTATAAAAGATGTAATCAAAGAAATATATAACTGGAAGAAAAAAAAGGTGGGCTGGTCATGTGTCAAGAAGAAGGGACAACTGATGAATAACTCTCGTTCTCCATTGATGCTCGTGTAGGAGAACTTGAAGAACCTCCCTCCACTCCCCAACCCCCCACCACATTGGGTGGATACCCTGTGTATGAATTTATGGGAAGACATGGAAGAGAGTCAGATAGGATGACTTTCAATCTGTATCATTAGAGGGAATACCCACAATGATAAGAGAACAGATCTTTGAGAGTATAATAGCAAAGCACTTATATTATCTTTATACGGTGTCCATCATAGACTTAAGCAGAAGATAACGGATGTTGAGTTAGAAGGTTTCTTAGAAGGTAACTTGTCCAACCTCCTCATTTTACAAATGAAGAAAATGAGACCCAGAAAGGTTAAGTTACAAACCCCAGGTAACACAAATAGTACATTTCAATACTCATGTTGGAATCCATGTCCCTACTTCAAATGTAATGCTTTTCCTATTGCAACCTTCCCAGCCCTTCACTCATTATGTGAATCAACCCTTGCCTAGAATGGCAGACGTAGTACACAGTAGTAAATCCAAGGGTGATGTTTGTAAAAGGTGGTATCCTTTCTGTGAACCTTCCTGTAACTTTGTGCCTCTGGCATTATATTCCACTTTGTGTTATATTCAATTTTGGACACGTCTTATTCTCCCCTATTGGACTGTATGCTCTTGGACAGCAAGGACCACATCTTATTCATTGAATTGAATTGAATGTAATTGCTACTCAAAAAAAGTTTGTGGCATGGAATCACAGGTTAAAGCTAGAAAAGAACCATTTTACAGAGGAAGCAAATTTATTAAATGAATAGAACACCTGATATAGTAGTAAATAAATTTTTGTTAAGTAAACCTTTCAAGGGAGCCATTGTGATACAGTAGAAAGAACACTGGCTTTAGAATCAGAATATAATCCTCCCTCTCACACTTTCAACCTATTTCATGTTGGGCAAGTCACAACCTCTCTAGGACTCAGTTTTCTCCAAACTACAAAATGTGGGATTTGGATTGGATAGCCTCTGAATGCCCTTCTAGATCTATGATCCTAAAAGTTCACTTTTATTTTTTGCATGAGGGGAATAAGACTTGGTGAATATTCAGTTATGAAGGAAAATACACACCTATTATAATTACACACACATACACAGACACATTTGTGTGCAAAATTTTACATACAGAATGTAGGCTTCTTGAGGGAAGAGACTTTCATTTTTTTTTCTTTTTATCACCTACTCTTAATACGGTGAGTGGCATGAAGTAGGTGCTTATGGTTGTTGGCTGATATACTTTAAAATTTCCCATGGGGTGAAACAGAGACAAGTTCATTCAACAAATCATTTCCACAAACATTTATGCCTACATGTGTCAGGCAAAAACCAAAACCAGTCCTTGTACTCAAGTAGCTTTCTTGAAGAGATTGGATGAGAAAAAAGAACGTTGAGATCCTTGGGAAGGAAGATGAATCTTAAAGTAAAATCCTTTCTTTTATTTTCTTTTTAAACTTATTAAAGGAGGCTCTTCGTCATTCTCTAAACTGAAAATATACTGTATTTCCCAGCCCTTTCTTAGAGCTTCACGAGGAGTATAAAGAAATGAAATCACAGATGTAAGACCCACCGAGATGGTCCAATTTTAAACCCTGCACGGGAGATGAAACACCGCTTCTGGTAATTTCGGAACAAAAAATGAACCTATTTGTAGTTGGGTCCCCTGTAGGAAGACAGGCAATTGAGAGATGGGAGGCGATCGCCTCCAGCCCTGTGGAGTCTGATTTGCAGGAGAGGCGAAGTGGGTCCTGCTACTGTAGGTCAGCGACCAACGCTGCTGCTCTTTTGTCTTGTAGTTTTCTGACCCTTGGGATCAGGGGTCCAGAAGAGTCCCGCAAGAGGCTCAGATCTCTAAAGAGCTATCATAGTGCTTTAGGACCTCAGGGAAACCAGAGATTTTCGGGCTTTAGGACCCGGGAGATTCCGGGCAGAGAAAACCCTGAGATGCTGTGGAACACAGCACCACCTACTTATTGAAGCATCAACTCCCTGCCACAAACCCATTACATCTCTATTCGAAATCTCGTTCACCCTATTTCCCACCGCTCAGTATTAGGGCTGTTTCTTCGCCCAACTTAGGGAAAAAAAATCTAGAGTCACCATATAGTGACGGTCAAAGAAAAGGCAGAGGGGAAAGAAGACTTGGCTGGGGGTGGGGGGGAGGAACCAAGCCGAGATACACCCCCTTTTAGGTTTCGTGGTGGGGGGCATTGGCTGGGACGTAGCGGCAGTGGCTGGGGACGCAGCCGCACATGCCCCGCCGCTTCATTCCATTCTGAGAGCCCAGTTCGCCCAGAGAGGAACTGCACGCTCGCTCGCCCGCTGGAGAGGCACGACTGACTTAGCGGCTCTTACTGCCTAGCCTGCGAGGCTCTTCCAGCGCACGGGCGTCTAGCAAACTTTTTTTTTTTCTTTTCCTCCAGCCCACGTGTTTTTGAGCAGGCTGCCCTGCCTGACACCGGGATGCAGCATTATGCCTGAGAGTCCTCGTGCTGCTTGGTCCTCTGTGAAGGTAAGTTGTTCTCTGCCGGAGCGCTTTGGCTGCCTCCCCTCTGGGGTACCCCAGCTTTGAACTTAAAATAGGTACAGGGTTGGATAAGAATGTAGGCGCTCCTCATTGCTTATCCCTCCTTCCCATTCCCAAGGGAGCGTTTCTTTTTCTCCTCATGCTTTTTCTAGGACGTCGGCTTCGCAGAGGTTTCCAATGATTGATTCCCTTGATTGCAATCACCTCATTGAAGTTGCTGCGCGCTCTGATTTAAGGCAGCTCCCGAGGCTTAGTTGGGTCTAACTAGAACTGTTCCTTAACTTAGTAAACTCTCATGTTCAGAGTGTTTCATCCCAATAATGAGAGAAAATTGATCAGCCTTATAGGGTGCTCCCCCTTAAAGAGAATGGTTGGTTGATTCAAATGCACAGACGCCTCTCTGTCTCCCTGCCTTACCTCCCACCCCCTTCCTTTGCTCCTCTTCCTTTGCCAAAAACCACCCTTTCTTGTCTCCCAATCTCGTAGATTCCCAGGACGGAGATGCTGTTGGACTTCAGGGTTTTTGACTCCGCTCTGTAGTAGCGCCTGCCTGACTGTTGGAACCCCTTCCCACCGGCTCGCAACGATTCACTGTCTCTACTCCAGCTCGCTAGCGGTGCCGGGCTCCTCTGATGACCCCTCCTGTTCTCGGACTTTGAGAGGAGTGTCTCCCCCCAACCCAACCGCCCAGATGCAGTTTCGCCTCTTCTCTTTTGCCCTTATCATCCTGAATTGCATGGATTACGGTCACTGCCAAGCCAACCGCTGGAGACGCAGTAAGCGAGGTCGGTATTGCCCAGAAGGAGGGATGTGTTGTGTCGGGTGGGAGGAGGCAGAAGGACGGGCGCTATGATGGGAGGTATTATTCAACCCTCAACCATACTCAGGCGTCTTGGTCCTCAGATGGTCAACACTGTGGCGTTCTTCACCTTCACCCCGATCCCTCACCTCCACCCCCCATTCCTCTACTCTCAGCTCTGGGAGGGGGCGCGAGTTGCACTGAGCTTCCCTGTCTCGGCAAGGTGGCGCAGCTACCAGTCTCCCCTACCTTTTATTATTGCAGAGCCGCTCTGAGAAAAAAGAGTGATCCTATATTTGCGCAAGTGGAACAAACGGATTTATACCTTCCCCTGAATTTGGCCACTCATCCTTTCCTCCCATTGATGTATTCTCCTTCCCAATCTTATTCTGTGAGGCTTGTTCCCCTACCTGGCGTTTCCCCTTTTGCCTGAAGACCCTGATGAGCTGCTTTCAGGGGCCAGGTCATTCCACCAGGTGTGCACCACGCAGGTATTCAGCACGGTGGCAAGCTGTTAGGGTGCACTCTTGGAGCCCGCGAAGCGAAATGAGCCATCCCCCATTTAAATCTCGGGAAACAGGAACAGGTTAGAAACCCCAGAAAGAAATCTTTCTCTGACTTGTTAGAATAGGGGTCAAAGGTTTAGATTTCGATTAGAGACCTGGTGTAACTTTGAAAGTACAATAGTAACACTTGGGGAAGCTCCCTAATTGCACTCATAAATGAAGTATCATAACCAGAATTGCCTGCTTTCTCTGTCGTCCTCTCATCTTTCTATGTCAGAAGGCACTTTAGAGTTCGATTATAAAGCAAGCCCCACTAAGTTCTCTTTTTCACTAGGGTTCTCTAATTATACCAATTCCTCTACCCGTTCTCAGCCCTGGTGCTTAATACTTTATTCACCAAATTGCATTCTCAGGATGCTGGGGCGAACAGCTGATTAATTTCGTGGAAGTCTTCGGGGCACTTTCTGCCCTGCTCTGGGGGAGGGAGGCTGGTGGTTTCTTCAGGTGGTGCTGTGATTGCCTTTAATCCTGAAGCTCTGGGGCCTGGGAGGGTGAGATGAGGCTCCAGGTCCTGGTGGGCTCGATTGTCTTCCCCTTGGGATGCAATGGAGATTGTGTGGAGCCTCAAACGTACTTTGCAGGTTCCCTGAGAGAGCTGTCTTTGTCCAGTAACTCAGCACTTAAAAGCAGGCAACATGCATCTTGGGGCCGATGCTTCTGGGTTAATAGGTCTTGATTTTCCCGGGATATAAACGTCTCTCCCAACCTGTGATATGATTTGTTTATAACCCACTTGGGATTCAAGCTTCTTGCATCCTGATTTTGGAGAAGTCTGATCTCGTTGGACTTTTTGAACCTTGCTCAGGATGTCATTAAGCTGTTCCCACCTATTGGCAATTGCCTAAAGGCTTGGTGGCCTTCTAGCTCTTGCCTGGAGTGATTTTTTTTAAAATTCAGTTTTATGTTTCACATTCTACACATGGCCTCTTTAATGATAACTCCTTGTCAACCTGATAAACTTTAAGGTAGGATTTTTGAAAATTAGAAAATAGTCGTCTTGGGGGGAGGGGGAGTGTTATGCATTTAGCTGGTAAGCACTCCCACCCTCCATTCTCAAAAAAAGTAATATTTCAGAGCACTGATAAAATAAAAGTTGGCGATATACTTCAGGAGAGCTCCTGGTAGTATATAACTAAGGCTTAAGGAGGCTTTCATAATAAAAACTGGCATGTTATCTTCTGTGGCTATTATCTATAGTGATGTTACTGAAGTTTTGACAGAGCTTCAATAAAAAAAACTTATTACTTAATTTTTTTTCTTCAAATATTTTTCATTGAGTAAGTTGTCTTACTAATTGACATCTTTTGATAATTTCAAAGCAGTACCAAATATCAAATCTGCTATTTCATTGTATTTGAGTAGTGAGAGGCTAGCAAGCTTTGGTGTACATTAGATTTGGGCTCAGTAGAGTGCAGTATATCATTACAGCACTCATGTGGACAAAAATGATACTGCACTTTAGATAAAGAAGTTCATTTTCTATAGTTTTTGTTTTAATTTAGGTATCTGAAGCAAAACCTTATTCCCTGCCCCCCATCTTAGTGTAAAATACAGTTTGGTGTCTCAGCTATCTAAGATACGCTTAAGTGATGGCATTTGGAAAAGCAGATCCAAAGTGTATGGTAGTAATTTTGCCAAACTGCTCTTTAGTCTTCATGAAATTCAAATGTGCAGGGACTGTTGCTTTCAAGCACATGCAAATTTTAGGATAGCATTTTTTTTTACCTCAACAATGATTTACTTTTTATATTTTCTCTAACAGATGGCTTTCCAAAATGCCAAGTTTTTTGGCTAAAATGACTGCAGTCTTAAAAGTGACCACACTATCTATGCCAACAAAGGATATACTGTGTCTTTAATTAAATGTGGAACTACTTAAAGTGCTGGCTAGACAGTGTAGGGTGATAGTAGTAATGTTTCTGCTTTACAAATGAAGCTTAAGGGTTGCATTGTGGGAGTATTGAAATGAATAGAGATTTAACTCAAGTTGTGTGAATTATCCCTCTTCAAAAACTTAAGCTGGTTTTAATTGATCTCATGTCCACTGATTGATCTTGGACCAATTGTTGTGTATAGTGAACAATTGGCTTTTCCAAAGGAGATTGATTTAAATTAGTTTCTTGGTGAGTATTTGAGGACTAGCCAAATAATGTCAGTGTTGACAGTTGACATACTAGAGTCTATTGTGGTATCAATGTTTCCTTTTTTTTTTTCCTTGTCTAGGGTGGTGGCAGCTTAATATTTCCTCTAAGGCAGAAAGGTGATTCTTTCTTTCCTTTAAAAAAAATTTCAGGATAGCAAATATCACCTAATGTCTTAAATTTCTGCTCTATTAAACACAAAGGCAGAAGTGATATAAAAGTCTGACAGTACAATTCACAGAATCATGTTATAGAATTTTCCTCCGATTTAGATTTTTTCCCCCTACATATTCCATCTGCAAATAATCAAACCTTCACTGTGGGGTGCACTCAGAACTTCTCTGGCATTCTGTTTAGTCTGCTCTATGATCTCAGATGCTCCATAATATCATTTTCTTAATGAAATAAAATTCTTGGCAGAGATCAGATAATTTAGTCAGTTAAAATCAATTGCATCCAGTCTGGAATAGAAAGCAAATCTATCATTTAACTCTGTGTTTAATTTTAAAATTTAGCTTAAGGATGCATAACGGAACGCCAGCCTTTCTTTTTTGGAAAGATCTTTGTGCTCTAGGGAGGGTGGCAAAGACCCATAAGCATATATATATATATATGTCACTCACCATTCTTTTTCTATTGGACTAGCTTTGGAAATTGCATAAAATAAATATGATTATGATAGTTTCATTTGGTTTGTCATTAATGATAAATGTGAATTCATACTATTAATCAACTATAGGATAGGGTAGAGTTCATTGGTACAGGGAATTCCCAGGTGAAGAAATTGCCTTTACCTATGTAGTTCAACACCTTCAGCACCTTCTGTGTAATTTATAGTCTTAGTTGCCTCTCTAATCAGCTATATATAAATATCCACAATGAGTGTCTGTTTATGTGTGTGAAATAGGCTAACTTTGAGAAGTCTATTGACAACTAGGGTTTTGTCTATAGTGCAGCTACTTTCTCCCCCCTCTTCCTGCTTTTTCTTGGCAGAATGGTCATTTATTTTAGCTACTATTACACACAATAGGGGTGATTTTTATTTTGCTCCTTATACCAAAGGTTTACTGGTATAGTAAATTGGATCATTTGATTTGTTTATTTTCAGGAATTACTATAAACTGTACTTCAAGTTGAATAGTTGAAAGGTCAGTAGATTAATCATAGTATTATTAAGGTAGTCCCACACCTTTTGTGATTTATAAAGCACCACTCAATTCTGTAGGTCCTTGACTTGTTTCTAGTAGTACTTTAAACAAAAGTTTACAATAGCTTTTTAATAAACACTTTTATAAGAAGGAAGGTTCTTAAATGCATTATTCATACTTCTAGTTGTCTGATGGTGGGGTTAGTGGTATGACAAGTGTTTTCCTGCTATATCCTTTCCTGCACCCTACTCTTGCCCCACTACCCTCTTCCCGTTTTCATAATATTGTATTTGGCTTTTCCAAGAAATTGAAGTGTTTATCACAAATTGCGTGGTGGTTTTTCTGGCAACTGAGGCTGGAAAAATGAAATGCATCTGCCATAAACCTTCATTATATAGCAACATTAATTTGTTTTTTTTTTCACTTTTAATTGAATGGAGAGATTTGGAGATATTTGTTTTTATAGGTACTCGTGATAATAGCATATTCCTCATGGTATTCTTTCAAGCTGTAAGAGTGCACATGGAACTTATTTACTTACATTTAAGTGAAAAGGCTTTGTATGCTTGCTTTTCTGGGTTCCAAAATGTTTCAGAAAAGTTCATGTGATAACTTTTGCAGCACAGACATGCTTTTTATGGACCACATTCTCTCCAGTTGTAAGTCAGTGAGTATGTCTGGCATGTATTTCACCATTTCAGGAAGGTCAGGGAGTTGACACACTCAGAGCAACATCTTACTTGGCTACTGGATTTTGGAAGTAATTTAGGCTAGGTAACCTTCTTACCAGAGCTATGTTTAGTTTAGACTTACTTATTTGCCTTTGAAATCGGTCCAGAGCACAGCATAGCACTTGAACAAAATCCATAGTTACAGATGACATCTCTCAGTGTGCAATCCTCTTGATTTTATTCAGTCTGATTATTACCCAGAGTTGATGTGTTGCCTGAACTATACCTTCGACTTGTCGTTTCGCAGTTGATTGCCTTTAGACCATGTTGCTAGTCATTAATGAAATGAGGAGGGAATAGAATGATAAATAGCCCAGAGACCATAATAATTTAGCTACTTGTTAGCAACATTTGCTAAGAGATGTGGTAAACATTTGGGGCAAAAATGAAGGTGTCATTT